TCTGTGTGGATGCACCCTAAGGTAACTCCCAATGAATCACATGCTTGTAATTCCCTCCCCTTGATTGTAGGTAGAAGTTGTGAGTTGCTTCTATCCAACAGACTCTTTATTAAGTTACATTGCATAAAACTCATTCTTTGCTTCCTGGGAAGAAGGGAGATGCTCTTCCACTGGTCTGGAAGGAGTTCAGCTGATGAGATGGCCTGTGAGAGGGTCACTTGGCAGGAAGCTACAGTGGCCTCCAGGAGCTAAGATGGGCCTCCAGGTAACAGCTTGCAAAAAAGTGGGGATGTCAGTCCTACAACTATAAGGAGATGAGTTTTGAAACAACCTGGTAAACTTGGAAGTTCATTCTTCCCTTGTCAAGCCACCAGACAAGAATATAGTCTGGCCAACCCCCTGATCGCAGGCTTGGAAGACTTTGAACAGAAGACCAGTTAAGCTGTGCCCAGACTTCTGATCCATGAACTGTGAGATAATAAATGTGTGTTGTTTTAAGCTGCTAAGTTTGTGGTAATTAGTTATGTAGCAATAAAAAATGAATGCATCATTCCATTTGGCCCTTCACCCCCAATACTCCACTATATGTGCTCACATCAAGGTTACTAGTAAACAATTTAATTCACAGTACTCTTCTTATCTATAAGCAGCATTTGACACATTTGATCATGCCCTTCTTGATTCATTTTCTTCACTTGACTAAGAGGATTCCCTCTCCCTCATTCTCTTTTTCTCCTTCTAGAACCCCCCACTAGATGTTGGTAGACCCCTCCTTCCTCCAAATCTCATATTCTTTCTTTTGTATTTTGCATCCCTTTATCTTTCTGCTGCATTTTAGTTAATTTCTTCACATTTACCTTGCATTTCAGTAATTCTTTCTTCATTGATGCCTAGTTTGCTGTTTAACCTTTCTATTACATTTTAAATATCAATGACTGTATTTTTCATTTTCTATAAAGCCAATCTGGCTCATTTTAAATGCTTCTGGCCTTTTTTGTATTTATACAAACCTTAAAAATATTAAAAAAAAAACCCTAACACTGGATTTTTATTGTTGCTTTTATACAAATTATAAATGAATAACAACATTAAATAAAAGTAAATGTGTAACAACATTAAAGGGAATGATAACCAACGCTTTCTGGCTAGTGATTGCTTCTTGGGTAGAAGAGGAGGTGAAGATTAGGGAAGGGTCCTTTGGAGTCTTCAACATTAGTATTACATTTAATTTCTTACGCCAGACGTTGGGTATATTGGTGTTGGTGTAAATAAATAATTTTTTTAAAAGATTTTATTTATTTGACAGAGAGACACAGCGAGAGAGGGAACACAAGCATGGGAAGTGGGAGAGGGAGAAGCAGGCTTCCCGCCGAGCAGGGAGCCCGATCCGGGGCTTGATCCCAGGACCCTGGGATCATGACCTGAGCTGAAGGCAGACGCTTAATGACTGAGCCACCCAGGAGCCCCAGTAAATAACAATTTAAAGAGATTTTTAAAATGTAATTTTCTGTGAATTCCCCTCAGTAGTACTATTTCTCTTCTTTATGATACAGAGATATTCATTGTTTCATAACCTTCCCTCCTCTCAAAGCCTTGATGTTGCTAGCCTCGTCTCATTCAACGGAGAGCCTAGACTTCTTACTTCACAAAGAAAAGGATGCTCTGACACATGGTTTTCATCAACTTTCTCCTTTATCACCTCCAATTTCCAAACTTCTTCATTCATTGTTGTTACCTCTTTTTCCTTTGTGTTGGTAGAGGCACCCATATTTCTTTGTAAATGTAAACATCCTGACCTTTATTTCTGATTTCATCTTCTACCACAAGGGTTAACAAACCTTTTCTGTAAAGCCCCAGATAGTGAATATCTTTGACTTTGTGGGACACAGTCTCTGACATAACTGCTCAACTCTGTCACTGTAACACAAAATCAGCCACGGATAATACGTAACTGAATGAGTGTGGCTGTGTTCCAATAAAACTTGGAATGGTGGTGGCAGGATTTGACCCAGGGGCCATGGTTTGCTGATCTCTGTTCTACAACATCCAAAGGGCCACTCTGTCAATCACTGGCTTGTTTTTGCTGTCAGCCATCTCTCCTCATTATCCTCAGGCCCTCACCCAATACATATTCTATTGTTGATTTTTCTGTGGGACTTTACATTGTTGACCACTCCTTCTTACATTCTTTCCTCATTGGCTTATTTGATACAAATCATAGTTTTCATCATCTCTATCTACCCATTCTTTGGATAATCCTTGGTATTTCTTCCTTTCTATGACCTTCTAATTTAAAAAATTGTGTACATTTAAAAATATATACAAAAGGAGAAAGACTTAATGTAATGAATCCCCATGTATGCTTATCCCTGCTTCAACATTATCAAGAAAGAACCAAGCTTTTCTCACTTCCACCTTCACTTTTTTTTTTGGCTTTAGTATTGTTTTAAGATACTACTTCACTAATTTTATCTAACACTCAGTGAACACTAAAAATCCCTAATTGTCCCCAAAGTAGTTTATCATTAATTTATTATCCCATTTTTGGTGATACAATTGATTGAGGTGTAAGTAGCATCAGTCTGATTCCTCCATTATAAAGTTCCTCATCAATTTTCTCCTGATAGTATTAGCAGTTATCAATGATTTTTGACCAGATCCATTATTTCATTAAGGGATATAGGGTGACTTCCTAATTCCATCATTCCTTCTATGTGTATTAGCTGAAATTCTTCTATAATGTTTTAGAGGGGGGAAGCCTCTTTGTATTTCTCCTTTACTCACATACACTAGCACCGCATTCATAATACTTCTGAAACCGGGTATGAGGGTTTTCTCCCACACCAGCTAATTCTCTGACACCAGCTGGATGTCCTATCTTTCAATTCATGTTTAAGACACTCTACCTGGAATTAGCATCAGATCCCACAGGCTAAGGGCTCAGTCTCATAAGACTCCCCCACCTCAGACGCTAATTGCAGTCCCAGGTGTTCCCTGTACTTCTTACTGAATGGCTGCACATTGGGGTTCTCATGACCCCCTCCTTAGGTTTGATATTATGCTAAAATGGCTCATGGAACTCAGGGAAATAGTTACTCACTGGTTTATTATAAGAGGATATGATGAAAGAAAGAGATGAACCTCAGCTGGGAGAGATGCATAAGGCAGGTTATGGGGGAGCAGCTCCGACATGGAGCTTCCTGCCCTCCCGGGACCTCCAGGTCGTTCAGCACCCTGGTAGCTCTCTGAAACTGGTAATTCGGGGATTTTTACGGGGGCTCCATTATGTAGACATGATTAATCATTAACTCAATTGCTGGTCCCTCTCCCCTTCTAGGAGGGTGTGAGGTGAGGCTGAAAGTTCCAAACTTCTAATCAAGGCTTTGTCTTTCTGGTGACCAGTCCTTATCCAGAAGCTATCTAGGAGCTCATCAAGAGCTGCCTCATTAAAACAAAAGATTCTCTTATCACTCAGGAGGTTTCAAGGGATTTAGGAGCTCTCTGTCAGGACTGGAGTCAGAGACCAAATATTAGAACAAGAGATGCTCTTATCACTTAGGGAATTACAAGGCTTTTAGGAGTTCTGTGCCAGAAACTAGGTCAGACACCAATATACGTATTTTTAAGTTTTTTCCACAAATGTTGAATAGGGTTTGGATAGTGAGCAAATTTGTCTTGTTCCTTTTCTCAAATGGAAAAAGTTAAGTGCCTCACTGTTAATTATGATATTGCTGTTTTTTTAAATAAAGTTTTAAAAATCCCTTTATCAGATTTAGAAAGCGTTCCTTTATGCTTAGTTTGCACAGAGCTTTTTTACCATGAATTGATTTTCATTTTGTTAAATGACCTTTTTTTGTGTCTTTGGAGATGACATGATTTTCCCTCTTCGTTAATAGAATGAAGTTTTTTTCCATTTTCATAAGAAACTTGTGTTGGTTTGGGTTGTTCAGGAAGCAGATGCCAGAAAGGGATTAGACATACAAGATATTTATTGGGAGAAATGACTCTAAAGGCTAAGCGGTGGGAACAGGGATATGCAGGTGTGGGGCCAGTGAAAGGAGAGGGCAGAGGACGGCTGGGCAGCAGGAGTGTCAGATGGCAACGTAGTGTTAAGAAGGTTTTTATCAGACCACTGGGAAGACGTTGTGTACAGTCACCTGTTGAAGTATTCGGAGCCTGGTTCCCAGGCCTTGCTGAGCCACTGGCTGAGAGCATGCTGGGGAGCATGACTTCATTGTGATCCAGAGGGGCCGAAGCCGGAGTGTCAGTCAACCACACCCCCCACAGCGGGAGATCCACACGGTTCTCACTTGCCCCAACTGCAGTTGTGGACAGACTTGTGCAGTAACCCCAAACTGAGAAAGCTCTATCAAGTATGCAGAATCTACCTCATGTTGGTAGGGCTGAGTCACACCACCGGATAAGCTATTAAGACTTGCTGAAGTAATACTTAAGAATGAGGGAAATTTAGACTGACTAATGGAGGAGGGAAAGGGTGGAAACCAGTTGCATCCTCAAAGACTAATCTCAGTAAGGGAATACCGCACCAATATCCCTTCTCTAAGTTTCTTTTAACAAGATCATCGATGAGCTGCTCCCCACACCTGTGTGAAGAAGCAGATCTGTGTGGTGCAAGGAGTGGACTGTCGTGCCTGTTAAAATGCACCATTCTTCTCTCATACCTTTCACAAATGTAAATGTACTAGAAACATACTTTAAAAATAAAGAAACCCATGGTAGGGAGGATCTACATATGACATATAAACTAGAAGCCGTAAAATAAAAGATTAATGAATTCAACTGTATAAAGTAAATTCTGCATGGAAAAAAAAAGGGTTTCATACAAAGTCAAATGTCAGAAGACAAATAGGAAAAAACGGGAACTCATATCACAATGTCCTAAATTCTTTAATACATACAGAGAACTCCTAAGTCAATAAGAAAAACACCCATAGTGTCAGCATTGATAGAGAGTGACAAAAAACTCTAAAATCTCAATGGCTTGAGCCACAAAAGTTTATTTCTCATCTGTTTTGTGTCCACAATGGGTCCATGGGGGCCTTTTCCAGGTTGGCCTCTCTGCAGGACTTACGCTGATAAGCAGCTATCTCCTGACATATTCTTGCCAACTGTGGCAGAGGGAAGTAGCTCTGCAGCATCTTGCACTGGCAATTAAATATGGGCCTGAAATTGATACTCAACAATTCATCTCACAAATTTTTGGCTAGAACTAGTCCCATGGCCCTGCCTAAGCCCGAAGGAACCGGGCTATGCCATACTGTGTCTGCCTGGAAGGAGAGCAGGACCCCACACAGGTAGGCAGCGCTAAACCTATTCCATTACCATGCCAGAGAGTCTATGAATTATTTGATTTCTCAACTGAAGGTCTTGTCAGAGAAAGACGATGGCATATTTCATTACATTCCACGTGCTGGTGATTAAAAAAGTAAAAAATTCCTTTCTTTCCAAAATTGGTAGTGACATCATTCTGACCAACAGAGTGAATCTGGGGATCTGTCAGATAGATGAGCCCTTTTCCATTACCAGTCACCCAACCTAAAAGAGAAATAAACATGTCTGAGAATTATATCCTCTATAAATGTCAGTAGTGTATTTCAGAAAAAGAAAATGTATATACTTAAAGAGATATTTTAAAAACTCGGTTATACTGAAGTTTATGTTTAATAAGTTTCTGTTAAGGGATTTGGTATTGCATATTCCAATTATTGGTTTAAGAAGGGAAACTGAACATTGGGTAATTAACTTTGTCAAATATGACATACCTAGGCTGCCAATTCTCAAGGAATTAGAGAGCAATAAAATGCACTTAGTTTAATTACTAAGATCACAATATATTGAATATTTCTTTCACGATTCATAAGTCGCTTTAGTGCTTAACCCATTAATTCATCTGTTCATTTAACAAATATTTATTGAGCATACGCATTATACAAGACACCATTTTGAGTACTTGGGATTTAGCAATGAACAAGTGAGTAAAAAATCACTATACTCATTGAGCTAACATTCTGGTGAAGTGGGACAGATTAATAAGCAATATAAGTAAGTAAGAATATATAATATGATAAAGAGTGATGATAAATGCTATGGAAGGGGATAGAGAAAATCTTGGGGGATGGTCTTAGAATCGTTACTAAAAATAGTTATAATAAACCTCATTTATCATTTAAATGAAGTGAAGAGTATTGGCTAATAATTCTGGTAAATAAAATATTAGATGAACTGAAATAAAATTAAAATATAAATGCAGAAAATTTTTAAAAGGTCAGATTTGAGTACACACAACTTTCCATTCCTTAATGACCCCATTATGAAACCTAATATCACACTTGTAATAAAGGTAAAGGGCGGAAGAAAAGAAAGAGTGGAAAGACTTTCACATATTAAAGCATGCAATATTAAAAAACCTACATCATTCAAATACACTTAAGTGAAATTTAAAAAAGCCCTTGTGGATTTGCTCTAGAATTAAGCCCAACAGAATGTGAGCCAGATCTTCTCACTCATTATGTGACATTGTAGACCCCTGTAGAAGCTTTACACATTTTTTTCAGACATCATTTGCTACATAAAGTAAAATCAATTATTTTAATTACAAATAGTAGTCCAGGCACTGAAAAATCTATTAAATAATGACTAGAAAAGCTAGTTACAAGACCTCACATTTACATGTGAATAACACTAAAAATAAAAAAATAAGTCCCAATTTCACATACCTTGTAAATCGACTACAACATCCCTATGATTAGAAAACTCATAGGAAAAATGGCCAAAAGCCAAGCCATATTCTGTGGCTTTGTATTCTGTTTTAACCACTTTTGCGTTATTTGATAACTTTACAAATTCTCCCAGTATGTAAGGCTCCACACTGATACATCCCTTTATTGTCTTGCCTTCCAAAATCTGAAAAATAGAAACGGGAGACCATAATGGCGAGGAAGGCCTCAGGCTTTGGGGTCGGGTAGACCTCACTTTGAACCTAGGCTTTGCCACTTAGGAGCTCTGTTACTTCTGGAGGTTTTGGTCTGCTCATTTGTAAAGCAGATATTATAATAATAGCTACCTTATAGCATTGTTAAAAAAATTAAATGAGAAAAATGCATGTAAAGCGCTTAACATTTTATGTGGCATATAATAGAACTTAAAATTATTATTATTCTTTTATTAAAATGCTCACATAAAAATGAGGCCATGAAGTGACCTACCCTAGGGAGCTAGCTCATCAAGACATGTAGATAAATCATGCCCTGGAATGCTGGGCTGGAACATCAGTTCAAGCATTTGTGTGTATACTCTATTTTGCCGAGTTGTTTCAAAGGTTAGAGTTAATGTGTTAAATGCCTGGCATAGTGTTTGACATAAAGAAAGTGAAAAATGGATGATAGCTATTATTGGTAGTAATAAAATATGTGTCAAAATATGTCTTTGGCCAAAGTAAAAAAAAAAAAAGTCCTTTAGGTATGAATGAGCTAAGGATCCAACATATTTGGGAAGGCAGGATATTCTTAATCCAAATTAAAGAAAAGTCAGTGGAGATGGATGGTTGCCTTTGTATATTTAAAGAGATATCTTATTGAAAACAGATTGGTCTCAATGACCCCAGAAGGCGGAGCTGCAATTCATAGGTAGAAATCAGAGGAAGACAGATCTAAGAACTTCCTAACAACTAGAATTATTTGAAAGTGAAAAGGGAATAATTATTTTTCCTTCCTAAACGTGTTTAAGCTATGACTTGGTAATTACTTGGTTGCCAGAGGCGGGGACTAACAGATGTAAAACAGGGAATTCATGCATTGGGTTGAGGGGATAATTTGTACTACATATCATCTTTGGGGTCCTTCTTCTCTCTTTGAAAATACAGACAGTACCCAAAGAAAGGATATTAAAAATGCCAACTTGACCACGTGCGACCAGATACCAGAATTAACAGGGTGACTTGGAAGATCCAAATTATATATTCAGGATCTAAAAGGTCATAGTTCTTACATTTCTCTCTACGTAGATGAAGGAGATGAAATAGTCTGGTAACTGAGTTTACTGGATTTTACCCAAAACGTAACCTAGTATATACTTACAGGCTTGTTTAAGCAAACCCCAGCTCTCTTTAATCTTACCAGTACTACTGTGGATGGGATATAGAAGATCTGTGTTGGAACCTTTTGTTCATAAAGTCTCTTGTTAAACTCTGTCACGTAGTGCTGTGCGGTCATTTGACGTTCCACATCAGTGAAGTGGTGCCGGAGCCCCTTCTGCTCCTTATATTCTTTCCCAACATATCTACGACCAGAGGAAAAAACATACAAAAGAAGCGCAGAAGTGATCTTATCACAGAGGAAGAGAGCGGAGACCAAAGGAGATACACAAAAATGCTTGAAAGATGTTATTCTTTCTCTACCTTGGACAGTCAGTATTAATGATCCTGACTTATCTCATGACTCAGATAATTTTGTAAGAGCCTCCTGAACAAGAGAACGTAATTCATGTTGGCTGACTGTGATGGCTAATGTTATGTGCCATCTTGACTTGGCCATAGGGTTCCCCAATATTTGATCAACCATAATTCTGGGTGTTTTTGTGAGGTTGTTTTGGGATGAATTTCACACTTAAATCAATAGACTGAGTAAAGCAGATTGCTCTCTCTCATGTGGATGGGCCAAATCTAATCAGTTGAAGGACAAAGAATAGAACAAAAAAGACTGATCTTCTCCCAAGTTAGAGAGAATTCCTCCTGCCAAACTGCCTTTGAGCTGGGACACTGGTTTTGTCCTGCCTTTGGACTTGAAGTGAAACATCATGTCTTCCTGGGTCTGGAGCCTGCTGGCCTTTGGCCTGGAACTACACCATTAGCTCTCCTGGGTCTCCAGCTAGCCAACTGCAGATCTTCAGATTTTCTGGCCTCTATTATCATGCAAGCCAATTCCTGACAATAACTCTTTGTCTATATGTATATACATCTTCTTGGTTCTGTTTTTCTGAAGAACACTGTCTGATACACTGACTCAGGATGATGCTGATTATAGAGAAAGTGTCCAGTTAATGTAGCAGTTTGCCAGACTTCCTTGGTGAGCCAAGGGAGCCAGGATGGACACTGGAAAGTGCAGGCTCTGCAACTAGATCTTTCACTACCTGCACTGGGGCCTTAAACAGGTCAGTTAATCAATCTGAAGCCTTCCTCTATCCCTTCCTTATGTGATTACTTCATCTGTACAAATACTTGTTTCCATCATCACCTATTATGTGCATAGCCCTGTGCTAGTCCTGAGTGTTTTGAAGAAAGTGTGAAATATGATTTGTATATTTCAAGGCCTTACACATAGTTGGAGACAGAAGATATGAGGCAGTAAGTGATTAAGTGTTGAAAGGAGCAAAACAGTAACTATCACACTTTACTACAGTTTATATTTGCTATAAGTTGGTGTGAATTTATGAGTAATTTGCATGTGTCCAGAGTGACCTCCAAAAATCAAAGAGAACTGTCAGAGTTATAGACCTCAACTAGAGAAAACACTCTCTAGAAATTACTGAGTCCAATAGGATAATGAAATCCAAGTTGGCTGCAGTTTTGGCCATTCAGACTCCCGGGGATCCGAAAGGAAATCTGAGGGGCGCCTGGGTGGCTCAGTGGGTTAGGCATCCAACTCTTGGCTTTGGCTCAGGTCACGATCTCAGGTTGTGAGATTGAGCCCGGTGATGGACTCTGCACTCAATGCAGAATCTGCTTGAGATTCTCTCTCTCCCTCTTCTTCTGCCCCTTTCCCTGCTCACACTCTCTCTCTCAAAAATAAATGAATAAAATCTTACCAAAAAAAAAAAAAAAAAAGAAATCTGACAGTGGAGGCTGCCGAGGAGGGACCTCTATGGCATGAGAAAACAGCCAGCAGAGGAGTGGCTGTCATCATCGGCTGTTCCAGCATTTCTGCCATGGACAGACCTCTGGGCCCGCAGTAGCTCTGAATCAGTTCAGCACTTGGAGCAAACCCTGGGGCTGGAGCATTTCCCAGACGTTCTGTCAGAGGACCTTCAGCCCTAGGTTCAGGATCATCAGTCTGGGAACAGAGGCCCATTCTTTCTGGAATCTTATGACATTTTATTGGGATCATTTTTTGTCAGGATTTGCTAGCAGTAAACTCTTTTTTCTTTGACAGCTTTTAAGATTATTTCTTTATCTTTGGTGTTCTAAAGTTTTACCACTATGTAGCGAGAAGTGGATTTATGAGTGCCTTCCTTCCTTCCTTCCTTCCTTCCTTCCTTCCTTCCTTCCTTCCTTCCTTCCTTCCTTTCTTCCTTCCTTCCTTCATTTCTAGTTTCTTTCCTTCTTCCTTTTCTTTTTTTTTTTTAAGACTTTATTAATTTATTTGAGAGAGAGAGAATGAGAGACAGAGAGCATGAGAGGGAGGACGGTCAGAGGGAGAAGCAGACTCCCCACTGAGCAGGGAGCCTGATGTTGGACTCGATCCCAGGACTCCAGGATCATGACCCAAGCTGAAGGCAGATGCTTAACCAACTGAGCCACCCAGGCACCCCCTTCTTCCTTTTCTATCCTACTTAGGATTCACTATGATTCCTATATTGGAAGATTAATGTGTTTTGGCATTCTGGGAAATTATCAGATATTATCTATTTAAATAGTAATTCTTTTCTATTTGATCTGTTATCTTTTTCTGATCAGATATATGTTGGATCCTCTCACTCCATCTTCCATATTTCTTATTCTCTCTTTTATTTCCCATCTCAGATCCTCCTATGATGCATCTTGCTGTATTAGTTTCTTAGGGCTACTATAACTAAGTGCCACAAATTGAGTGACTTAAACAACAGAAATTGACTCTCTCATAGTTCTGGAGCTTAGAAGTCCAAGATCAAGATATCAGCAGGGACATGTTCAATCTGAAGCCACTAGGGAAGGATGTTTTTCAGTCCTCTCTCCTGGCTTCTGGTTTCCTGCTTTGTGGAAACATAACTACAATTTTACATGCATTCTCCTTGTGCATGTCTATCTCCAAATTTCTTTTTTATAAGAATACCAGTCATAGTGGATGAGGTGCCCACCTTATTCCAGTATGACCTCATCTTAACTAATTATATCTGCAATGCCTCTATTTCAATAAGATCACAGTCTGAGTACTGTGGGTTAGGACTTCAACATATGAATTTGAGGCTGGAGGTACAGAGCTGTTAAAAAACTCACTAAACCCAAAACACATGGCTTCATCACTTGGATGTGTGATGTGGGGCAAGTTTCTTAACATCTCTATGCTTCATTTCCCTCATCTGTAAAATAAGGATAATAGTATCTGTCTCATAAATTTTTGTGATGATTAATTAAATTAGTACATAAATTACTTAAAAGAAGGCTTGGCACATATATACTTGGTAAATATATATACATGTTTCTATTGTTATTATTATTATTATCATCATCATCAACAACCTTTTCAAGAAATATACTTCCACTGCTTAAGAATTACCCAATTTCTCACTCTCTCTCATTTCCTGTCTTCCTATTTATTTCTTACATTATTTGGATTTGGATAAAAAAACAGGGTCCACCTTAAAATTCTTGGCTTATAGGTCTTTTTAAATACACAGATGATGTAAAATTAGGTCTCAAACCCAATGGGGATCACCTGTGGTCACTAATTTTTTCAGGTGAGTTTTTGCTTGAAGTTGTCATCCAGAACTAAGGCCAAACAGGTGTTTACCTCAGTGAGGTGTTTTTTTTTTTTTTTTTAAGATTTATTTATTTATTTGAGAGAGAGAAAGAGCGGGGGTGGGGGGCGGGCAGCAGGAGAGGGAGAATCTCAAGCAGACTTCCTGATGAACAGGGAGACTGACGCGGGGCTCTATCTCACGACCCTGAGATCATGACCTGAGCCAAAATCAAGAAACTGAGCCACCCAGGAGGCTGGGGGTGGGTGGTCTCTACCCACTGGATGGTCTCTAAATAGTCCCTTACATGTGTAACTTTGGTCACTAGCTGCCACCTTATGCCACCCCACTCAAAACCTAACAGGGAGTGTCTTAAGGGCTTAGTATACTCTTATATCCCTGGATTTGCTTCATCCCTAGCCTAAAAGGATTTTCCTACCTTTTTTTGCGGACTCATTTATTTACATATAAGTGTGGTTTTCATAGTTGAATTAGACTTCTTGCCAGCATTTATAGTGGGAGTGTTTGAGGCTCTCTGTCCTGCCACAGAGTCAGAAACTCCATTTTTCTTATCTTTACAATGGGGATAACAATGTCTCTCTGAGAGGTTTTTTTTTTTTTTAAAGATTATTTATTTATTTATTTAAATTTTTTTAAAGATTTTATTTATTTATTTGACAGAGAGAGACACAGTGAGAGAGGGAACACAAGCAAGGGGGAGTGGGAGAGGGAGAAGCAGGCCTCCCGTGGAGCAGAGAGCCCGATATGGGACTCGATCCCAGGACCCCAGGACCATGACCTGAGCCGAAGGCAGTTGCTCAACAACTGAGCCACCCAGGCACCCTATTTATTTATTTATTTGACAGAGAGAGACACAGCGGGAGAGGGAACACGTGGTGGGGGGGGAGTGGGAGACGGAGAAGCAGGCCTCCCGCAGAGCAGGAAGCCCGATGTGGGGCTCGATCCCAGGACCCCGGGATCATGACCTGAGCCGAAGGCAGATGCTTAACGACTGAGCCACCCAGGCGCCCCTTCCTGAGAGGTTTGACATCATGTACATCTATGTAAAATGGCTGACATGTTGGTCAGTCTGTGGTAACTACTGTTAGTTAATTAATGAGGAGGAGGAAGGAGTAGGAATCTGAAAATATACATTGTGGCTAGCTTTTCCAGCTCTTTCAAAATCTCATAAATGATTAATTAACAGAAAGGCATAATTAGCCCATTTAACACTAGTGGTAAGGTTGTTTTAAAGAAATACCTCCCCAGAGTTTCTTCTTGATGAAGATGATGAACCCAAAAAGCATTTCTTTGTCTGCCTTTCTTCTTCACATTCAGGTAGTCCCCCAAATATACAACAGTTTCTTGGGCTGTCCATAATTCTGATTTTTTAGAGTATTTTAATAAAAGAGCATCTGGAGAAAAAGAGAAGATAAAAATGGATGTTATTTTCAAAGGGATGTTACAATTTATGAATAAAGTTGAAGTGACACAGATCCTATTCCAGCTTGTCTGAAATCTTCAGCTTCTTTAGACATTTTCTCAAATTTCAGCCTCTTCTATGACTACTACTACAAAGTTAGTGAAGTACAATAAAGTAAAGCTTTGCAAATGTAATGAAGATTCACAAAATCTTTTGCTTGTGATGGTCAAGGATTAAGATAAGGCCAGAGTTTCTGTATGAAAACGGTGGAAAATAAAGGCTTTTTAAACATCAAACACCAGAAACCATCTTGGAAGAGTGATATATGCTTGCATCTTGGGGCACCTCAGTGGCTCAGTCAGTTAAGGGTCTGCCTTCGGCTCAGGTCATGATCCCAGGGTCCTGGGATCGAGCCCCGCATCGGGCTCCCTGCTCCACGGGAAGCCTGCTTCTCCCTCTCCCACTCCCCCTGCTTGTATTCCCTCTCTCTCTCCGTCAAATAAATTAATTAATAAATCTTAAAAAAAATAAAATAAACAGCAAAACCCCAGAGACCATCTTGGAAGAGTGATATATGCTTGCATCTTCTAATTATCTGGGGGGTCCGGATAATGGAGCCTACTACTGGTGCCAGACCATATAGATAGAAATAAACGAAATAACTCTACCTCGGAGACTCCTGGCAACTTCAGAAATCATAGTTACCTATTAAAGTGCACCTTAATTTTCTCTTGTTTTGTTTAAGTTGGGAAAGTCCAGGAATTACTTGACAAAATACAGCTACCGTACAAAGATTCTACTCAATAGAAAAAGGAAAAGATAAGAAGGAAAAGCAAAAACTGTCTCCACCTTAAGGAAAGGCAGAATAGGGCTAGTAAGAAAGCACTACTTTGAGGGGAAAGACATGAACTCCGAGAAGAAATGCAACATTTTGGGATCCAAGTTAAAATGAAGTGAACATGGACCTTCCTGCATCTAGGTTGTGATAATGGGTGAAAGTATAGGAGACTCAGGAGAGAAAATACTTCAAGTAAGAAACTCACGGGTCTGGGACCGGGGCGGGAGATGACTGGAGGCTGGGAAAGACAGTGGCCAGGGTTGGGGCATTCAATTAGAGAAGCTGGGGATGGAAACAGAAGGTGAGCTGCTTGCCCACATTCATAGGAAGGGCAATGAACTGAGGGAAGAAAGATGGAGGAAATGTACAACTTGCTTTGTTTCCTCAACTTTGGGCTTTCTCTGTTTTTCTTATCTGTACACTGGGGATAATAATGTTCCCCTAATGGGTTTGAGATTATGTACATGTGGCTTTTCACCCACAAATTGGCACACAGGTATAATAATAAAGCAGTTACCTAACTCTAAGAAATGTGATTCTGAACCTACAGAATCTCTAAAAAGGGAATAGTGAATAGGGAAACCCTATTATAGAATGTTTTGCTTCTTTTTGTGACAACCTGATCTGTATCTTAGTCTGACTTCAGGGCAGCAGGCAAAAAACTGGAATACTTTGAAGCAGAAGTTACTGACATTGTCTTTATAAAAATGCACTGAAGAGCTCTTAAAAAATACTGATGCTTGGATCCAAACCCCAGAACCATTAGATTGGAATCTCAGGGGTGAGGCACTGGAAATTTTAAAAAGCACCTCCCCCTCCAGGGATTCTTATATGGTGCTAAGATTGAGAACTACTACTACTTTATTTATTTATTTATTTATAGATTTATAGATTGATTTATTTACTTGAGAGAGCATGCATGAGTAGAGGGAGGGGCAGAGGGAGAGGGAGAGAGAAAATCCCAGACTTCCCACTGAGTGCAGAGCTTGATGCTGTGCTCCACAGGATGCTGGATCCTAGGACCCTGAGATCATGGGCTGAAATCAAGAGTTGGACACTTAACCAACTGAGCCACCCAGGTGCCCTGAGAACTACTACTTTAGTATCCAGTGCTTAACAAGCCACAAAGCTTGTTTCTTTTTTTTCATTCAAATAATTCTTCAGTATCTTGGAGGGTGTTATGATGTAATCTTCTGGGCTAAGAGAAGAACCTTCTTTTGTCTTCTTCCCAGCCTCCCCACCACTTCTAAGCTGTAACAGATACACTGATTACCAGGTGGGCCCCAACCCAGGCTCCCTGCTATAGTAAGTGACCTTGGGCTCTTCCATAAGCAAGAAGTAGTTGCTGACTATAATAGTAGGGGGCACTTGCTCAATCCATTGGCTGAAAAGAAACCTTGTGGGCAGGTGTGAAAATCCCTGCCCAGCAGAAGAGTGATGTTTAACTAGGTCAAACTCTGCCCCCAAGAATCTGAATGGGGAAAAACAGAAATCAGCTGGTTGGTAATGAGAATCCAGGGAAAAGACAGATGCTGAGTGGATATGACAAGCAGAGCTATTTTAAACCCTGACTGATGACTCTTCCTTGGTCCTGTAAGATTCTTGTCTGCCTTACCGCCTTGTGTATCTTCATAGCAAGTCCCCAATATATGCGGTGGCCTGAGTAAGCCTCTAGTCTTTGCCACCATTAGAGTCCACCACACCAAGAGTGAGGGAAACCCCCAAAGTACATATTTTTCTGTATATTCACAAAGCATAACAGGGGTCTGTGTCTTTCATGAGTTTTAAGTGATCTCACATATCAAGCTCTTCAGAGGACCCCAAACATACACAGAGGCTTCCTGAAGCTGTACCGACTGAAAATGTTGTACTCACTGTGTGCTCGGTGGAGTTGATTGGGCTTAAAAACTCCTGTATTCTCCAGTCTCTGTAACAGCCAATCATGGCTCACCCCTGCCAAGAGTTTTTCAAAGTCATCAGGGTGCAGGGTTCGAGCATCTAGGATCTCTTGCCTTATCATTCCTGGCAATGAAACAAAAGAACTTCCACTGGAATTCAGAAAGGACCATGGGTTTTCCCCCTCAGAAGAACCATTGGAAAATGCAGGTGATTTCAACCACCACGCTGAGGACGAGCTGGAGTTCTGGCTGCAGTTTAGCATGTTTCCTGGTTCGTTTCCTTCTTCGGTGGTAGTGCAGTCCTTGCCAAGATCAGGGAAGGCAATGTTACTGCTTACAGATGGGTCAGGGGTCTCAGCCCCCCAACCATGCAGCTGCCTCAGGGAACACAGGCTCGAAGAGCCACACCCATTTGTGGGGTGAACATCAGTGCTGTCGAGAAGTTGGCCCTCTTCATCCACTGTAGAGGCATCAGGGTCAATGTTCTGCTCTTTGACTGAACCACTGCTCTTTCCTGAGTCAGGATTTTGAACAGGCCAATGAAGAGTGAAAGAGCTACATGGCATCACAGAATTTTTGCCCAGAGAACCCTCCATGACTACGTGAGAGTCTAAGGGCATATCCTCTTCTTTTTCCTCTGTTTCTCCTTCTAGGTCAACCCAGGAGGAACTATCTTTAAATGTAAGGCCTGTCCCTCTTTTGATTTCTTCCCCATGCCTGTCTTTGGCATCACAGTGGATTTCTGGAAATTCACTTAGTTCAAAGGTTTCTTCTTCTTGAACTGAAGGATATGTGGCTATGTTCTTGGGCCAACAAGAATCAGAAGAGGACAAAGAAGCAGAACCAAATGAGGGGCTGGAATGACCAGAAGTGTTTCTGGATCCCATGTTTCTAACCTTTTGCACACCTTCTGGAGCTCCTTCTAACAGGCCTGCACCAGAGGCCAAGAACATGCCTGTTGTGTTATGAGGACAGGAGGTTGTTAAGGGCATGTGTTTGTGTAGCTGACTTTGAGAAAACTCTAAATTGTCATCCTTGGATACTTGGAGAGAGAGACCATGAAGCTCTGAAGACAGTGGATGTACAGCTCTGCTTTCCTCATTGATCTCTAGCTCTTCAGACAGGGCAGTGGAACACTGAGTATCCACAAGATGTTCTTCCTTGCAAGGCTCTTTTCTGGTTGACCTATCATCGATATAATTCACTTCCTCCCAGCTTGTAGAAGAACTAACCCCTGATAACTTGCTCCAAGAACTAGAGCAATGGCTGTCACTCAGAGACTTGTCCAAAACAGCTTCTTCACCGTGGCTGTGGTCTGGTGACTCAACCTCAGTCTCTACATCTTGATCCAAGGAGACTCGAAATACATCAGAATGGGTCCAGTTTTTCCTGCCTATCCTGCTGAGTTTCTCCTGACTATTCTTAGCCATTACCATGCCTTTTTGAAAATGTGATTTGTCTTCAGTAGTACACACAGTATCTATGTTTTTTGTCTCTGTTTTTAGAGTAGTGATACAGACTCCTGTTTTTGTATCTTTCTGTTTATTTTTGTTGTTTCCACAAGAGCTTTCAAATACTTCACACACTGAAGTATGGTGCTGTGAATAGGCTTCAAGGATTTTTTGGAAATCCACTTGCCCATGAAAGATGGGCTTATCCAAACCACGCTTGAAACTCTCCGGAACATAAGACTTGTCATCTAAATTTGAGAAGCCTTGAATTTGTAAATGATCCTTTACCTGGGTGATAATAGACAAGATCTGCTGAGAGAGAGCTTCTCTCTCCTGACTTCCAGAGGAACTACTGAAACTGTACAGCTTTCCCATAGCTTCGTTACAGAGCTGACTTGCTACACGGACCATCTCGGTCTCCCCATAGAGTCTTTGGTGCACTGTGGTAAGGCCGAAAGCAGCTTTGAGAAGACTATGAAGCTCTTGTTTTCCAGTAGCTGGTTCATCATATCTCTTGGTGAGGAGGCCAATTTCGAAGGCCTCTTTGGCTTCATACAGATATGAATTTTTCATTTCTGGAGGACAGTCATTAGAACTACTATAGGACAACAAGCATGTGCCGCGGATATTCTGAGGAAAATACCAAATACAAAATCAGACACTGAATTCGAAACTGGAAGTGAATCAGGAAAAATTTCATTCCTGGAGGACAGTTGTTAGAAGTGTTATAGGAAAATAAACACGTGCCACAGATATTCCAAGAAAAGGACACAATCAAGTATTGAGTCAAGGGCCTAAAGTCCTTTTGGTGAATTAGGAGAGGGGACTGGGATGTATGTGACTGGTTGGCATGAGGGGGTTAGAAATTAGCTCTAACTACCATCTTGCTGTAGGCCTGATACTTTTTTTTCAGTTTATTTATTTTTTTAGTAATCTCTACACCCAATGTGGGGTTCAAACTCATGACCCTGAAATCAAGAGTTGCATGCTCCTCTGACTAAACCAGCCAGGGGCCCCAGGCCTGATATTTTTTGATCAAAGATGATAAATTTGTTGTTGCTGTTACTGCTGTTGTTAGTTTTAGCAAAGAGTGTCTATATACATGGGACACGGACATAGTAATTTTCTCTGTGCAAATAAGGCTGCTATATACAAAAACATCATTTATTTAATAGAAGTCAAAACAATAGAGTAGTGGCTTCCAAACCCCTCTGTGCACCTGGGCAGTATTTCAAAATAAAAGATTTCTGGGTACCTATCCCAGAGATTTGCATTTAGTGGACCTAGGTTGGACCAGGAATGTACATTTTGCAAAGACTCTTTGGGCAGTTCTGATGTGCCTGGGGACCATTGGTCTGAGGCGGACAACATTATACCCTCAGGCTGAATTAATTATCTTCCACCAGGATGTCACTACTCTGATTTATAAAACCTTTCCATACATAAGGCCTGATCACAATTATCTAATGATGTGCACAAAGCCCACTTTAGGTTAGACCTTCCCCTCTCACTGGTTACTTCCCTCATTGGGGAGAGAGGTTCAGGGAGCGGCTGCCCCCTGCTTACCACAGCCGAGAGCACAAAGAGGGGCGTGTAGGGACTGAAGGCAGTTGCCAGTTTGCAGGCTTCCGCAGCTGAGAGCAAATGGTGGTCAAACTCCCTCAGCAAACCCTGTGAAAAAACAGGAGGCCAAGTGTTGTATTGACAATTATTTATCCATTAGCAAAAGTCAGGCTATGAAATTCCTTTGCTTGTCTTTCAGGATTTTGAGGGACCTTCTGCCCCTCATCACAACTATTTCAGAACAGTGCCAAGAAAGAGTTAAGTGGCTCGGGAGCGCCTGGGTGGCTCAGTTGGTTAAGCGTCTGCCTTCGGCTCTGGTCATGATCCCAGGGTCCTGGGATCGAGCCACACATCGGGCTCCCTGCTCAGCAGAGAGCCTGCTTCTTCCTCTCTCTCTGCCTGCCTGCCGCTCCCCCTGCTTGTGCTCTCTATCTCTCTCTGTGTGTCAAATAAATAAATAAAATCTTAAAAAAAAAAAAGAAAGAGTTAAGTGGCTCAAAAGACCCTAGGGAGTTGAGTGTCCTTTCCCCCAGCACCCATACACAATCCTGTCACAAGCCCCGTCCCTCCCCAGAGAGGGCCTAATGTGTGCAAAAATTCACAATGCCTGCCTATACAAAATAATTGACACAAGTTTCTCTGGAGGATCATGCAAGTCTTTGTTCACAGAAACTCTGTGAACTTGCAGCCAGATTAGCTGATGATTTCTGCACTGTTCTTGGCAGAGCCTTTTAATGTATGATTTCAGAGCAAGTAAGACTCATTCATTCATCCTAGAAATACTGTTCTAGACATGAAGGAGATAGCAGACAGTGAGCCTGCAATAAGCTTATTTCCTATTGAAGGGAGGGAATCAGTCAATACACAAAATGAGTAAAATGCATAGGATCTGACATGGCACTAAGTGTTCCAGAGAAAAATAAAGCAGGAAGGGGTCACAAGGAGGTTCAGGATGGGCAGGCAGTTCAATTTGCAATTTTTAAAAATTTAATCTTTTTTTTTTTTTTAAAGTAAGCTCTACACCCAATGTGGGGCTTGAACTCAGACCCTGAGATCAAGAGTCCCATGCTCAGCCAGGCACCCTGGCAGTTTATAATTTTAAACAATCATCAAAGACAATTTCACTGAACAGGGATATAACCCTTTTCTTGTGTGTTGGTCGGACAGCAAAAAGCAACATTTTGCTAAGACTCAGATTGCCAGCAGCAAGCTGCATGTGTTCTTATGCTACAGTAATTACTATTAAATACAGTTACCATTGTCACTTCAGTATTTAATAAAAATGGCAATCTTCATGATAATATTAAACCTCTCAATACCAGTGCAGTGCAGGAGAGCAGTTTGATGTCTATGCTAATGCTCTAGACTGGTCAGAGATCTGGGTTCTGCTCTTAGTATTCTTTCTTACTGGGTGTGCAAACTATAGAGCTCACTTAGTTTCTCTGGACCTCAGTTTATTTTTCTCTTAAATGGGAACAATACATTTTGCTCTACCTGCCTCATAGGGTTTTATGTGGCTTCTATATATTGCGTTGTAAAGGAATACATAAATATTAGTAATGAGAACTTAGACAAGTGACTGATACTCTGATTTGAACAGAGAGGTAATTAAATTTTAAAATTGTTACCCCTTTGGGGCACCTGGCTGGCTCAGTCAGTAGAGCATGTAACTCTTGATCTCAGGGTTGTAATTTCCAGCCCCACAGTGGGTGTAGAGCTTACTTAACAAAATAAAATCTTTTTTTTTTTTTTTTAAGATTTTTAATTTATTTATTTGACAGAGAGAGAGAAAGCAAGAGAGGGAACACAGCAGGGGGAGCAGGAGGGGGAGAAGCAGGCTTCCTGCTGAGCAGGGAGCCTGATGTGGGGCTCGATCCCAGGATCCCGGGATCATGACCTGAGCCGAAGGCAGACCCTTAACGACTGAGCCACCCAGGCGCCCCAACAAAATAAAATCTTTAAAATTGTTACCCCTTTACCTTATCTCTGAGGTAGCCCAAGTGTGGAAATGGAATTTTTGATGATTTGAAAGGAAATCAGTGGGATTCCAAGCCCTTATCACCTCGATGATATTCATTCATTCATTCACCTGTCATTTTTTTAGTACCCTTGTATGTCTGGTACTGTGCTAGGTGCTAAGATTAATACAGCTAAATAGGACACCACAGGAATTGTCCCCAGGATTGTTCATGTGACTCGAAGAGGGGAGACACTTGTGCTCCCTGACTCCTGGAGAGAGAATGAGATTGATGCACCAATCACCAAAAACGCCAGCGGTTTTGTGAGGTGATGCCACCCTGCACCATGGTTTTGACATGTGATAATTACCAAGTGAATTTGTGGATTGTTTTTAAACTTTTCATAATCTTTTTTGCTCATGGAAACAAAGATGTCTGCCAGTATACCTAGTGATGTGGAAATACCCTGTAAGAAACAAACAAACAGAACACAGATTAGGAATTCATGGTCAATTACCGCTCTCGTCTCAAGGCCTAAAGGCAAAGATCAGTCCTCCATATGAACTATCTCTGCGGCTGCTCTTCTTATTCTTACTGTGATTGTTACTGTGACAGTGGAAATACTTCTAAACTGGATGCCACAGGGCTTGAAAGATCATCACGTCCTGAGGACACAGACCTACTGTAAACACAACTATTTCTTACCTGGGCCTTACTGGACTGCCAACACTAACTTCTCCATCCTGCTACGCATAAAGGATTGGCTCAAGCGAGAGTCCTTGTGTCCCATTCTGTCTGTGTCGCCAACGGATTGTAGGCAATGGTACTGCTGACACAGTTCAGGGAAATGAGATAACCCAGTGTTCCAGTCAACAAGGAGAATATTCCCACAGAGGCACAGGGCATGCAAACAGCAAGTAGGAAAGCAGATGTTGCCTCTCGATTTCTTGGATAAAGATGCCCCAGAAACAATTAGTTGGAGGAAAATGATCTTACAACTAAGCAACTTGGCCATCTCAACTTTGCTGTGGAATCAGGTAAAGGCTAAATCTATAATCAAATAGATAGATGAATGGAAATAAATATATAATATTTATATTATATAAATAAATATATATTTAGAAATAAATACATAAATAGAAATAAGTATGTAAATAAATAGAAATATATATATAAATAGATAGTTAGACATGAATGCAGAAACACTAAATACATGCCAGGAGTCTAGCTGTGAGTGGGGAAAGGGAAGACACAAGAAGAAGTTACCAAATGTTCCTGGTCCTATGCGCACGCAGAATCGATAAAAATAGGACCAATAAACTCGATAAATGATACACTGAATTGTGCCATAAGGAGATAGTCATCCAAAGACAAATGTAGGAAAGGAGAAAAAAAGCACTAGATACACCACCTTTCTGTCTGGCTGAGGAAGTGTCAGATATCCTATGATGGAGGTCCAGATTAGCTCTGCTGCTTCATACCACATCCCTGGAAAAAGAGGGGGAGACGGCACAAACCGCTAGTATCTGTGTATTGTGTTAGAAAATACCTTTGAGAACTAATACAGAAAGAAGATTCATTGGCTCCTGTTAGGAAAATTTCGGGCTGAATTATATTGACAGCAATCAGCAGATAGGATCTGCTGGAGAAACAGCAACCTATTTTTCCAGTTGGTTTAATACAGATAATTCTTCCCTTTCACAGAGAAACAGTAAGAATTATATGTATGTGTGTGTATATATATAAAAATAATCAATTGTGTATATATATAATCAATTACATATATGTGTATATATAATCAATTATATATATGTGTGTATATATATAATCAACTCCATTATTTACAAGAATACTAATTACCATTCTATATTAAAAATATTCAAACACTTTAGTTTGCATATTTATTTATTTATTTGTTTGAGCACCTGCAGCTCCTTTTTATACTTCCTTTTTTTTTTTTTTTAGATTTTATTTATTTGTGAGAGAGAATGAGAGACAGAGAGCACGAGAGGGAGGAGGGTCAGAGGGAGAAGCAGACTCCCTGCTGAGCAGGGAGCCCGATGTGGGACTCGATCCCGGGACTCCAGGATCATGACCTGAGCCGAAGGCAGTCGCTTAACCAACTGAGCCACCCAGGCGCCCTATACTTCCTTTTTGTTGTTTTTTAAAGTCTTCTGCCTTCAGGTGAGGAAAGGGCTTGGGGATAGGCTAATAAGCCCACAGGGGGCCCCGGGGGCTCCTTCCCGCCTCCCAGCATATCTCCCTCCCTCCTCCCTCCAGCCTACAGCAGAGCCTCTGCTCTGTTTCTCTCCCTCCTCAGGACCCCTCCCTTGGGACCAACCCTCCCAAACCCCATGTTCAGGTTGGCCTGTCTGTGGGGACAGTGCTAGAAGCCCTCTCCTGGACTGCTGGCAGAGCACTCAGGCTTGCTGGGCTATAAACAGCTGGGGTGGGGTCATGCACTTTAAAGCACAGCTAGCATTCTATAAATTTTGTTTGACAAACTCAGGAATGCCCTCTGAGGAATGAATGGGTAAGGTGTCAGGGTGGTGTAGAATAAGGTGTCACTCTAGCCCATGGAGTCCTATAGAACTGAAAGTCAGACTCCAGAAATAATACCGAGAACCCTAAGGTTAGCATCAAACTATACAACTGTGTATTTCTTTAACAAAACTCAACATAAAATATTTTGTTCTATTAATGTTCATAACACTCCTGGGATCTTAAATGTCATTTTTTTTTTCGATGAGGAAACTCAGTGAAGTGGGGATTAGCAATTGTAACCAGATGCGATTAGAAAATTCTACGGTAAAATCTCACAGCCAGACTTTGTAAATGAGCCCTGAGAGGCTGAATGTTTGATGACCGTACCTAGCTTTTGCAGAATTTGCCCTCTGATCTGTATGCAGACTGACTGCACCAGGATCTTGTCGCTTTCATTTCTGTACAGCCAGGTACCTACAAGAAAAGAGGGGAAAAAAGCAAAGCGGCTTTAGCTTTGAATTATCAAGGAAATAGCCTGGTGAAATGAAACCATTTCATGCCTTCATGAGCACATGTGATCCAGATTAGAGAGAGGATCTTTTCTCTACATTTAGGGAAAGGTTCCAACTCCTTGCTATAACCTACAAGGCTTCACAGACATGAATTCCTGTCTGGTCTCCACCTCTCTCAACTGACTATGTCCTGCCACACTGACTTCATTTGCGTTCCTTATCATGGCATCTGCACTTGCTGTTACCTCTGCCTGGGATCCACTTCCCTCTGGCTCCTGAGGAGATCAGCTCCTCCTTCCAGTCAACCCAAAACTGGTTTGGAAGTAGAGACTGACGACTGCACACGCACACCAGGAAGGCAGGAAAAGATTTAGTACTCACATAAGGAGCCTTTCTGAGGAGAGCAGGCAGGCACCCAAGCTGGTCCATTTGACGTGAGTGAAGAGTGGTGAGTGGCTTTGGTTTTTACTGTGATTAGGGTGTGGGGCTGGGGTAAAGTCTCCCACAAGCTACACTCGGTTTACTGATGAGTAGGTTCAAAACAAACCAAAAAACAACCCCCGCCCCCAGCCTGCCCAGCTGTGGGACAACGGGGAGTGGGGGAAGGCTGGGGCCTTAAAACTGTCAGCAAACACCAAAAATAGAGTCAAATTCATTATTACACCCTCTTGATTCTGTGTCACATCACCTTCTCTGTTTTCTCCCCAGCTTTTAATCCCAGTGTGTGCGTGTGTGTGTGTGTGTGTGGTGTGGAAGATGGGAAGTGTGCATATCATAGGTTAGTGATGGTGGTCACAAATGAGGGGTGTATGGTCAATATCTGTATTCCAAACTGCCTCCCCACTGGAAATGTCAGTAAGGTTCAAGGAGCTTGGAAACCTTGGATCTAAGCACATTGGGATTAAAAGTCTACTGGAGGTTGTGTTCAACTTACTGGGAAACTTGTTGACTTTAATGCCCAGAAATTCAGACAAGATATTTGAAGATTTAAATGATTTGTTACCCAACTTCCAGGTAGATCTGGAGAGGTCTAGTGTACAGTAACTATTAGGTCATTCAGTCGCTTTTAAACTAGAACTCCAGTAGGGACTGCAGGTAAAGGTTGTTGTGAAGATATGAAAACACCTTACCTGTTGCTCCATTGTTGCTTATTAGATTGCTCAGGATATACTCTGCTTTTAAAAGTTTCCCTGAAAAGAAGCAACCAAATGCTACACAATTAGTTCTGCGCATTTGCCTTCAATACTACTAATATGTTTGTGCTTTAAGATTAACACATTATACAGGGAACATAACCTCTCTTGGAAACATTCTATTTTAAAATTTAAAGTCATGGACACCTGGGTGGCTGTCGGTTAAGTGATGGACTCCTGATTTCAGCTCAGGTCACGATCTCAGGGTCGTGAGATCGAGCCCCGTGTCAGTCTCCCTGTTCAGCAGGGAGTCTGCTTGAGATTCTCCCTCTCCTCTGCCCCTCCCCCTGCTCTCTCTCAAATAAATAAATAAAGCTTTAAAAAAATAAAAATAAAATTTAAAATCAATAACTATAGCATCCACGAAAGTGAACAGAAAAGATGACATTTCCAGGAATTGGTAAGGTGGGAAGTTGTATAGTATCTGAAATGGCAATTAGATTTACACACATACACATATACATTCATTCATATAGAATAAGGCTTGAGAAGTAAAGGCAAACCCTTGTAAAACATTATGTCTTCTTTCTGTGAACAAGACTATGAAAGAAAGAAAAGAAAAAAGAAAAGGAAAGAAAGAAAGAAAAGAAATGAGGGAAGGAAAGAGATGAGGGAAGGCGGGGCACCTGGGTGGCTCAGTTGTTAAGCGTCTGCCTTCGGCTCAGGTCATGATCCCAGGGTCCTGGGATCGAGCCCCGCATCGGGCTCCCTGCTCTGCGGGAAGCCTGCTTCTCTCTCTCCCACTCCCCCTGCCTGTGTTCCCTCTCTCGCTGTCTCTCTGTCAAATAAATAAAACCTTTAAAAAAAAAAAAAGAAAAGAAATGAGGGAAGGAAAGAAAAAGAAAAGCATATTCTGAAATCATGACTTATTGTCTTATTAAAATTTATTCATACCAATGTGTTTAGAAAGAGAGCAATAACATGAAATACTTGTGTAAATGAATTTTACCAAAGGTTTCTTTCTTTTTAAAAGTTATATTTTCTAATTAGGTTTTTTAAAAAGATTATTTGAGAGAGAGAGAGAGCATGCACATGAGCAGGGGAAGGCATAGAGGGAGAGAGAGAATCTCCAGCTGACTTCCCATTGAGTGGGGAGCCCTCACATGGGGCTTGATTCCAGGACCCTGAGATTACAACCTGAGCCGAAATCAAGAGTTGGACGCCTAACCAACTGAGCCACACAGGCGCCCCTCTAATTAGGTTTTGCTGATATCTAAGGATGGGTATTTTTAAAATATATTGATTTGTATTCACCAAACTTGCTGAATGTCTTAATTCTAATAATCTGTGTATTTTTTGAAGTTTTATATGCAGGCAATCGTACCATCTACAAATCCTGATAATTGTGTTTATTCATTTCTTTTTTTGTGTGTTTGTGTGTGTTTATTCATTTCTAATCTTTATATCTCTTATTTCTTTCTCTTTTTTCATTGCACTGGGAGGACTTCCAGGTCGGTATCAAATAGAAGTGATAACAAGATACATTTTTTTTTCCCTACTTGATTTTAAAAGGAATATGTCTAGTTTTTCATCAGTAATTTTGCCAAGGTTTTCGATTGCTTCCTTTTATCAGGTTAAGAAGTCTCTTGTGCAGCTATCAGCTTATTGCCTTTCAGCTCCAAATTCACCCTTCATTGCCTGCTTTGCAATAATGGGAATGGACCTTGTAAATATTTCTCCTTTGCCAGCTTTGTCATTAGAGGGTGTGGAGAGACACTGCAAGGGAGGCTACTTCTCTTCCTGATTTAGTGTGCAATTCTTGCCAGGCTCCTGCAATGCATGTAGCTTCTCCAGTGCCTGCCTCCTGCAGCGTTCCTGGCTTCTCCTGTGTCTTCCTCCTCCAACACAGGTGGCTTCCCCAGCACTTGGCTCATTGTGCAGAGGTCAGCAGCACCCAGCGGCCGGCAGCTTCCTGCAGCATCCTCTCAGGTGACTTCGCAGTGGAGTGCTGCCAGGGAGGGACTTCCCCAGGAATGTATCCTCCTGGCATTCCACAAAGGCAGCTTTGTGGTGAGTTCCAAGGCACCTTTCTGTGGATGGCTTCCCCCAGCACCCAAGAAGGTGGATTTCCAGTAAGTTCTGCTGGCATGGAAACTCCTTGACTTCTCTGCCATCCCGTGAGCCATGGCAGTGCCTTCTCCAACAAGGTCTGGATCGCAGTCCTGGTGTGCCTGCCTGTGGGGTTGGGAAATTTTTCTTATGTGCTCTATCTCAGTACAAGGGATAGTGGCTGATCTTTATAACTGCTTATCCTGTATTCTTTAGAGTTTTCTTTACTACTTATTCGTAATCCCTCGTTAATCCCCTGATATAGTTAATAACTCTTTATATTAAACTCTCCTTGTTCAAATTACTGTGTTGTTTCTGTCTCCTGACTGGAACCTGACCAAGACCATCTCTAACCCTACTTTGTATTTTTAACCTAAATGGGTAGAAAATTTTATAAAACACTTCTCACATCCATTTAGGTGAACACATAGTTTTCTTGTTTATTCTGTCCACGAGGTGAACTGACTGAATCAGTTATGACATTAGTATTATTATTATTTAGTAAGCTCTACACAAAAGGGGGTTTAAATGCATAACCCCGAGATCAAGAGTCACATGCTCTACCAACTGAGCCAGCCAGGCACCCCTGAATGAATCCACTTTTAAATATTTAACCATCCTTGGGGCACCTGGGTGGCTCAGTTGTTAAGCGTCTGCCTTCGGCTCAGGTCATGGTCCCAGGGTCCTGGGATCGAGCCCCTCATCGGGTTCCCTGCTCCACGGGAAGCCTGCTTCTCCCTCTCCCGCTCCCCCTGCTTGTGTTCCCTCTCTCGCTGTGTCTCTCTCTGTAAAATAAATAAATAAAATCTTTAAAAAAAAAATTAACCATCCTTATATATCTGGAATAAGCCTTACTTGACTATAATGTATTTTATTAATTTAATATAATGCTGGTCAATTTGATAATAAAATTTTTGCATCTGATAAATTATGTAAGTGATACTACCATATAATTTCCTTTTATTTTTATCTTAATTAGTTTGACCTGTGCATTTACCAATTCTATTACCATTGCTTTTTTTTTTTGCTTGGTAGATGCTTAACGATGCTTAACGACTGAGGCACCCAGGCGCCACCTACCATTGCTTTTTGAATCTCCTACTTCATCTTTATAGATTCAACTTCTTACTTAACAAAATACATTCTTTAATGTGTGTGTGTGAGAGAGAGAAAGAGGGAGATAAGTGTCTTGAGAATAATAAATATTTTTAGTCTTTGTCTGAAAATGTCTCTTTTGTCCTCACTTATGAATGGTGACTTTGCTGAGTATACAATTCTAGGTTGAAAGCTATTTCCTCTCAAATATTTTTGGTAGATCCCATTGCTTTCTGGACTCTGTTGTTCCTGATAAGATGTTTTTTGTCAGTCTAAATATAGTCCCCATATACATAATCTGTCTTTTCTCTCTGTTTCCTTTAAGATTTTCTCACTGTTTGATTTTCTGCAGTTTCACCACACTGCGTCTAGGTGATTTTTTAAAAAGAAGTTTGCTCAAGGTTGGGTCCACCTCTTCAACACAAAGACGTGTTTTTCTCTAATTCCAGTCAGTCCTCTCAGAAGTCCTATTATGCTTATGTGCTTTTTTCATTCTATTCTCTAAGTTTTAAAAATTCCTCTTTCATATTTTCATCTACCTAACTCCATATGCTTCATTCTCAGTATTTTCCTTAAATATAATTTCCAGTTCCATCACTTTCTCTCCTGCTGTTAGATCTGCTACAGGAATGCATTTCTGGTAGGTCAGTTAGGGGGTTGGAATACCTACCTGAGAAACTGGCCCAGGAAATTTATCTTTATTGGAAGGTTGTTACCACTCACCAGTAACAGGTGGGCACATATTTAGAATCTTTGGATAGTCCTTTTATTAAAAAAATATTTATTTATTTTTATTTATTTTATTTATTTGAGAGAGAGAGAGTGAGCCCACACATGAGAGAGCATGAGCAAAGGGGGAAGGGCAGAGTGAGAGGGAGAAGCAGGCTTTCCACTGAGCAGGGACTTGCATGGGGTTTGATCCCAGGACCCAGGGATCATGACCTGAGCAGTAGGCAGACAATCGACTGAGCCACCCAGGTGTCCCTTTCTTTCTTTCTTTCTTTTCTTTCTTTGTTTCTTTCTTTCAAGTTTTTATTTATTTATTTATTTATTCATTTGAGAGAGAGAGAGTATGCATGAGCTGGGGAAGGGGCAGAGGTAGAGGGACAAGCAGACTCTATGCTGAGTGGAGGGGCCCCACTTGGGGCTCAATCCCACAACCCTGAGATCATGACCTGAGCTGAAATCAAGAGTCAGACACTTAACCGACTGAGCCACCCAGGTGCCCCTGGATAGTCCTTTGCTAGTCAATGGAAGTCTGGAGAACAGCAGCATCAGTGTTGTCTGGGAGCTGGTTAGAAATGCAGAATCTGAGGCCCTGCCACATACCCCCTGAATTAGGATCTGCATATTTTTAAGAAGATTTATTTATTTTAGAGAGAGAGAGAGTGCATGTGTCCATGAGTTGGGGGGTAGGGCAGAGGGAGAGGGAGAGAATTCTCTAACAGACATCCTGCGGAGCATGGAGCCCGACGTAGGGCTCCATCCTTGGACCCTGAGATCATGACTTGAACAGGAACCAAGAGTTAGCCGCTTAACTGACTGGGTCACCTGTATTTTTAAATTTCTGAAAATTCTCTTTAGTTCTTTTTCAAAAGAGTGAATTCATTTTCTTTTCCTGTTGCATTCTGTTCTTTAAACATACTATTTTTTTAAGCCATGTGAGTCTTTCAGGTTGTTCTATTTTTATATTTTGTTCTGGAGGGCCATTTTTCCTGTGTTTTGTTGTACATGCTGTTCTTCTCTCACATGTTTCATTTCCTTTTGTTGTTTATACAGTTTAACCAAGGGTATCTTCAGCAAGGATTATTCTCCTGTGGGATTCCTATTCCCCCGGAGTGTGGATGTTTCTCTAGAACATAGTTTTGTATTTGATATTCTGCTGGGCCCCAAAAATGTCAGTCCTGAACTAGTTTTTTGTTAATTATTTGGGGGGATCCCCTCCCTTGTGGGTAGGGTAAATTCAGACTCCTCACACACATTTGGCATAGTCTTGGGGTTTTTATTTATTTGGGGAGGGTTTTTTTTGGCCTCTACCCCAGAGCTTGGGTAGACAGTAAGTTTCCTTGCCACTTCTCCGGGTGAGCTGGTGGAGCTGTTCAGTCCCCTCTCATACCTGTGCAAACCTTTGAGAATTCCCACTTTATGCAAATATTTCACTTCTCACATAGTCCCATGGACCTGTCTCTTGCCCCTAAATGGGGATTAAAATGAGAGTCCCTTCCCCTAGGACCATATTCAAGTGTAAACCCCTCCGGCTCATGAGCAGTAGACTACTGTTTTAACTTTGAACACTTTCTGTGTTTCCACACCTAAAAAAATATTCGCAATATCTATGTAATAGGAGAAGATTTTGTATTTGCTTAATCCTCCATGTGAAAGAACTGAAGATTTGAACCTTTATCTCTAATTATGGCTTAAAAGGTTTTCCTCTTAATTTTAGGCAAGAGTGAGCTAGGCAGGCCCAGGATGTTCTCTATTGTCTCCGAAATCCCATGTTGAATGCCCTGACCTTTGGCATGTGTTTTGGGTGGATACCAGGAAGGGCTGAGTCAAAGGGATAACAGTAGGATTGTGCTGTCCCCTCATATTACCTTTATTCCTCTTCCTTACTCCTTAGAATATCATACAGTCCTCTCATTTCTCCATCCCAGGAGTCCCAAATGCTGAGAATGGAGACCCCTTCTCATGGTACCTTCTCTACCAGGACACCACCACTGCTCTAAGCCCCTCTCTCTCTGAGACATCCAGTGTATGGGGAGGCTTAAGACTTGTTTGGGGTCGGGGGTGCTGAGTGGCACAGTCGGTTGAGCATCTGACTTGATTTCGGCTCAGGTCGTGATCTCAGGGTTGTGAGATCAAGCCCTGCATTGAGCTCTGAGCTCAGCGTGGGGTCTGCTTGAGTTTTTCTCTCCCTCCACTCCCACTGGTGCACTCTCATTCTCTCTCTCTAAGTTAATCTTAAAAAAAAAAAAAAAAGAGTTGTTTGAGGGGAGAAGTTCACAAAACTCACTTAACTCTGAGACTGTGTTTGTTTTCTTGTGGCTCTTCTGGTAGTATCTTTGAGGAAAAGATAACCCAACTGTTGGGAACTAAGATCTAGGATTTTATCTTAGACATAGGATATGTATCAACAGAGGAGCGTACTGCTCATGATGCTCTCTAGGCTTACTTGTTATCACGGTTAGAAGCATGAGAGAAACAACAAAACAAACAAGTGAAAAGATCAGTGTGGCTGTGTAAAACAAAGCTATCAACATGCCTGCCTTCCGCTTAACCTCAATTTTCATGTCACACTATACCAAATCCGTATCTCATAAAATAGGCCACATAGACTCTCTTCCAAGTTCTAAGTGAGGAGAACCAATGTTAGAACCCTGCCTGTGCATGCCCGGCCTCATCATTCTGTTCTCCCCACAGAATGCTATGCACACACATCATCGCCATCTGATGCCATCCGAAGGAACATTAGTTGTCAGCTTTCCCTCATACCCCAAACATTATAAATCCAAACATTGTAAAATGTCCCAAGTCGGGGATATCAGAAGGAAGTTTTCCCTAGTTCAACTCTGTCCCTGCAGTTACTCTAGGAAAGTAATAAACACGACACAATTTATGCACAGCTGCAAGAACTTGAAAGTGAATGAAGTTGGGCTTTTGAAAAGTGAACCTCCACAAGCCCATTTCTCTCATGTCCTTTTATCTCTGTCCCTGTCTGCATCCAACAATTGTCCCATTTAGTATAGTCAGTACAGTTCCTTTTCAAAGGAAATGAAGTAAAGATATTTTAACCCCTTGAAGACCGGACTTACTAATACCAGTAACAACAGCTAAAATCAATTTAAAAAATGAGCCAGTCCTGTTTCTCGGAAGGGCAAATTTGCCTTCTGCTTTTGTCCTTTATTCTTTCACTCTTAGAAATGAGGATAGCAGGCTACACATTTCTCAACCTCATGGTTATCAGTAATTTAAATAATTCCAAAATTCTATAGAAGTAAACTTCATTGTAATACATGGCAGGCCTTTTCTCCCTCCAACTGCCCTCTACAGTACATCCTAAGTTAGAATGTCAGCCTCATTTTTCATTTCATTCAAAGTGACAGAAGGGAAAAAAAAAAAAAAAAAAGGATACTTTAGGGCCTAATCAGGTACCGTACCGGTGTTCCCAGTGATGGAAAAACCCCCTCAAATTACTTCAGTGGATTTGTCAGCTCTATTGTTAGCATAGTCAAGTGGCCCTACAGAAAGGAGACAGGAGAACTAAGAGAAAATGGTCGAATTTTAATCTGCTTTTTAAAGGCTCTTGGTCAGAAGTAGAGCAATTCAGACACCCCTGTTTGAAAGGAGCAGGACAGATTTGTTAGAAGACAAAAGCTCCAATTAGTACTTTCCACACCCTTTCACAATTTTCTCTCCTGCTTCTGGCTCTGAAACCCTTTATGCCAGGGCCTTTGTGCTGGCAAGGGCGGGTGGAAGGGCACCTCGGAGCGCCGGGGGCGGGGAGAGCCCGCCGCTTGAAAAGATGGCCCGCAGGCCCGGGTGCCCGCCGTCCCCCCGCCGAAGTCAAGTCGCCCCGGAGCGCAGGCGAGCCCCCGGCCGGCCGCACGGCCGCAGGACCGCGAGGGGCCCGCGCGGGGAAGCCTACCTGAGTTGACCGAGAGTCGGGCTTGGCGAATCACCACCTGCGGGGCAATGGGCGTTGCCGGCTGCAGCTTGTGGAGCCCCTTGGCGACCTGCAGGAGGTTGCCGGAGACGTCGAGCCCGTACAGGAAGCGGTCGCATAAGAACACAACGGCAGCAGCCGTGGTGCAGTCGCGGGAGCGGATGGAGGCTTTCAAGGACGCCTGCAGGCACATGGAGACAGAATGAACCAGCCGCGAGCAGCGCCCCGCGGAGAAGGAACGCCGCCCTGGGACCAAGCTTAGTCTTCTTAGTCTGTTATCCTTCCCTTCCCTTCCCTTCCCTTCCCTTCCCTTCCCTTCCCTTCCCTTCCCTTCCCTTCCCTTCCCTTCCCTTCCCTTCCCTTCCCTTCCCTTCCCTTCCCTTCCCTTCCCTTCCCTTCCCTTCCCTTCCCTTCCCTTCCCTTCCCTTCCCTTCCCTTCCCTTCCCTTCCCTTCCCTTCCCTTCCCTTCCCTTCCCTTCCCTTCCCTTCCCTTCCCTTCCCTTCCCTTCCCTTCCCTTCCCTTCCCTTCCCTTCCCTTCCCTTCCCTTCCCTTCCCTTCCCTTCCCTTCCCTTCCCTTCCCTTCCCTTCCCTTCCCTTCCCTTCCCTTCCCTTCCCTTCCCTTCCCTTCCCTTCCCTTCCCTTCCCTTCCCTTCCCTTCCCTTCCCTTCCCTTCCCTTCCCTTCCCTTCCCTTCCCTTCCCTTCCCTTCCCTTCCCTTCCCTTCCCTTCCCTTCCCTTCCCTTCCCTTCCCTTCCCTTCCCTTCCCTTCCCTTCCCTTCCCTTCCCTTCCCTTCCCTTCCCTTCCCTTCCCTTCCCTTCCCTTCCCTTCCCTTCCCTTCCCTTCCCTTCCCTTCCCTTCCCTTCCCTTCCCTTCCCTTCCCTTCCCTTCCCTTCCCTTCCCTTCCCTTCCCTTCCCTTCCCTTCCCTTCCCTTCCCTTCCCTTCCCTTCCCTTCCCTTCCCTTCCCTTCCGTCAAAACAAGAACAACAAAACCTAGAACAAGGGGAAGAAACAAACTTTATTGGGCGGCTGAACTGAAAAATAAATAAATAAATAAATAATAAGGAAAAATCCAAATCAATTGTGAGATAAAACCTTTCTTCCATTTCCTTTTCCCCACTACATTTCTAAAATTATACAAGTGATACATGCATATTTCCTGTTCTTAGAAAATTCAAACACAAGGTAAAAATGAAAAGTGCCCCTTAGTTTTCTGACTCTTTACCTTATGTTTTCCCCTCTTCCCCCCCAATCTCTTTCTCATTCTTCCTCATCCTGGTTTCAGAGCGATCCTTCTAGAAACTTCTACCTATTGTGTATATTTAGACATTAATTGATTCCTTGTCTTGCCTTGCCCTCTCCCCCCTTTCTCCTCTCCCTCTTTTTCTCTCTCATAAATGAGATTACACTATACATATTGTTATGTTGGTTAGTTCTTTCAGTCATCTTAGCATCTTGAAGAGCGTTCCACATCAGTTCATAACGCTCTGCTTCACTTATTGCCTACATTTTAATTAAGAAGAAATACAGAATTTTAGGTAACATTTTAAATTTAACTTACACTTAGTTAATGAATAAAACAACAAAAAGAAGAAAACAGGCCCGAAATGAAAGTGTAACATAAAGAGTGAGAAGTGGAGATAAGTGAGGCAAACCTGTATGGAAAAACATCATCTTTTGATCTCCAAGGTGTTATACTCAAGATATTCAAAGTCATGTAGCTAACAGCATAAATGAGTTTCCCACTCAGTAGTATTTTCTCCATTTGCTAAACTAAATCAAGCAGTGTTTTCTGAGCATGTTGGCTCACGTATGAAGCCCAAGACAGCATTGCTCATTTTCCTAGCACAGTGTTACTACACAAAGCACTGCTTTCTTCACCACATAATCCTAAGTACTAACACTTACTAGATGGGTAAAACTAGATGCAGGGCACAGTGCTAAGTGCATTACATGTACAATTCACTCACTCTTTACAACAATCCTAACAGGCAGATTATATTAATACCCCCGTTTTATAGATGGGAAACCTGAGACTCATAGAGGTTAAGTAACATGCCCAATGTCACATGACCTGTGACTAAGAGGGGAGATTTGAACAGAGAAAGTCTAGGTCCAAATCTCACACTTTCAAGTCCCATGTTGTACCGACTTTATTTTAGGAAAACAGGAGTTGGATATCAATTATCTGATACTTGCAGTGATGCCAGTAAATACCAAATATGTAATCAGTGTTGTTACAGTTGCTGGTCTGAGCATGATTTACTTTAACAAATTGAAACTAAGAGAGAATGCTTTCAAACTGGGGGGAGAGAGTAACCTCTGCTTTTCAAAGTCTGCCTGGAACTGTTCTTTTAGAGTTTTAATTTGATACTTGTGTATGTCTAGGTAAAACTGGCCTAAACTCTTAGATCTGGCCCATTCCAGAGTTCTACTGATGGTGCTTATTCACATGATTTGACTTTTGGTATGTATGTTTTGGAGTGCTGTTCTATAGCACTGCACATAGAACGTAACGTTTATATTTACAGGTATTCATCAGTCAGGTAATGCCTACCAATAACCAGCACAATAACCTATTTTCATACTGATGCTTTCTTAACTCGTTAAGGTTTTTAAGCTATCAGTGTGTTTATTAAGTCTAGAAAGTGATCATTTGCATTTGTATTGTTCTCATTGTGATAGAGATGCCAATTATTAAGGGGGGATCTCTCTTCTCTCTTCTTGGTGTTTCCTTCCATGTGAAGGGGGCTGACTTACTGTAGTACCGCTGGCCTCTCTACTCCTTTACCCACTCTGCCCCAGGGGAGGTGGAACGATTAATATGACTGGTAAATTTGGGAAGAAGAAACTGGCATGCCTGGCTTAGCTCTTCTCTTTTTTTCCTTGGGAACAGCTGTCTAAGGGAACCAGGATACTCTGCTCTTGTGTATCACAAGTCTTAACTAGAAAGCCACCCTATATGTGGTGTTCTGCTTGCCCTCGTAATCTCTGTGACTGAATGGGATGTCTACATAATTCTGGGGTTCAGCTAGCAGATCCCCTGTGCTCTAATATGAAGCTATATCTTTCAATTTAGGCTTTATCAGAATTAGAGGTAATGTTTAGCCTCTTGTCTGCCTAACTCTTGATTTATTCCTGTTTGCTCAGAATCCAGGAGGGAAAGAATCCTGGAGCCTCTCAAAGATCCCAACGTTAATCATGCCTAATATACCATAATCCTTTCTAAGGAAAACTGTGCTGCCCACAGTTCCTGCTTTTGAAACGGGCATGCATTTTGCTACTTTCCTTGACTCCATTTCCCCACTCCACCACCAGCTCAAAGCTAACCTAAGAGTACTCATCTGATCCCTGGCCCCATGACTCTGGGGCCTGGCTTGAAAAAATGAACTTTCAAATCTGAACTAAGAAACATAGAAAGAATGGTAGGGTAGAAAGAAGCAGAAAATAGAATGTAGCTAAGTCACACTTAATGGGCAACTGCAGACTGAAGATGGAAGAGTGATGGCTCTGAATCCAAATGTACCTTGTCATGAGTGCCATTCTTAGAGTTCCAGGCCTCCTTGATTGTTCCATTATGTTTTTATAATAATGTACACCCCATTTTGTGAATTTGCTTGAGTGAACCTCTGTTCCTTCCAACCAAAAACCAAACAAAAACCTAACTAAAACTGAAGTGTTCAAAACTTCTATTGAGAACTGTCAAATTTTAAAATGAGAACAAGTCAGTCAATTGACATTCATAAACTGTAAATTCAAGTGGAAAGGAAAATTTATGGTTTTATGTATGCCCAGCTCTGTTCACTAAGGCTGGTCTCTGGTCAAGAGTCCTTCCTATGCTAGGTACGCATGACACAGTCCTTTAGTTTGCAACCTCAGCTGTTATTTGCAGAACTTGCAGCCTCTTCCACTGCTAGGCTTCCTGAAACGGGTGTTTGGAAAGAGCAACGCTATTGCTGTCACCCTGCTCGTGACCACTTATCTTGCAGGGTCCTCAGCAAGCCATGGTGAGTTCCCTCTCTTTGAGGTTGCCCTCTGGTGTGTGCTTGATGGTCAGTTCTGCTCTCCCTTCTCACAGGTGCCCCACTTCAGTTTTCAGGTAACCGTATATCTACTTGGGATGCAACGCTTAGTGATAGGCTATTTTCCAGAAATGATTCTCAATCCTTACCTCTCTGACAAAAATGGTTTCCATCATTGTAGCACCATCTAGTTTATGAGAAACATTCACAGACATTATCCCATTTGAATTTATAGTAACTATAACATCTAAGTAAGGTAAGGAAATTGAAGTTTCCAAATTTACAAAGTCCGAAGGGTCAGGGTCAGGCAGGAACCCAAGTCTGTATCTTTTTAAAATAAATTTTCTTATTGTGGTAAACAATGCATAACATAAAATTTACCATCTTCACCATTTTCAAGAGTACAGTTCAGTAGTGTTTAGTATATTGTTGTGGAATAGGTCTCCAGAACTTTTCCATCTTGTGAATATGAAGTCTATACTGACTATACGCCTCTTTCCCCATCACAACCCAGCCCCTGGTAATCACCATTTTACTTTCTATTTCAATGAGTTCGATTATTTGAGGTACTTCAAGTAAGTGGAATCATACAGTATTTGTCTTTTTGTGACTGGTTTATTTCACTTAGCATAATGCCCTCAAGGTTCATCCATGCTGTAGCATGTGATGAAATTTCCTTCCTTTTTAAGGCTGAATTATTCCATTATATGTATATACCAAACTCTGTTTATCTATTCATCTGTTGATGGACATTTGGGTTGCTTCAAACTGTTGGCTATTGTGAATAGTGCTGCTAAGAACGTGCACATGAAAATATCTCTTCAAGATCCTGCTTCTAATTATTGTGGCTATATATCCGGAGTGGAATATGTGGATCATAGTGTAATTCTATTTTTAATTTTTTGAGGAAGTTCCAGACTGTCTTCCTTAGAAGTTGCACCATTTTGCAGGCCCACCAACAGTGAACAGAGTTCCAATTTCTCCATATCCTTGGCCAACACTTGAGGAACACAAGTGTATTAAGGGTCAATTTTTCCTCTGCTTTCTCCCTATGGTCTGATGAAGGTGATTTTGCTCAGTGCCTAATCTGGGCATAGGAAGCTGGGTCTTTGGAGCTAGTGCTAAACTTGTCACTCACTGAATCCAAGCAGTTTCTAAGG